TTTAAGGGTGCTGCTGTCCAAGCAAGATGGGTATCACCAGAGGCCATGTCAGGAATTCTTTACGCTTCTAGCAAGAATGATTGGATGGTGGAACCTCAATTTTACCATCGGTTTCTTAACCCTCTGACGCATTGAGTCCACTGCAGTGGACAGATTCTTTTAACTCCAAAAGATATATTTTAATTCTCTGAAACTTATGCAAAATGCATGAAATCCCTTTCAGTGGACTCTAATCAAGTAACTACTACCGCCATCTACAATATTTATTTTGAAATTCAAAGTTTGTTTATGTTAGTATCTATGAATAACCTGACCGCGATGACCACCTGTGAATTGCCTGAAATAAGTGCCCGTAGTTTTTATGGAAAAGCAAACAAAAAGGTAAGAAAATATTTTTCTTATAGAATTATGTATTTTACACAATTTGCCCTTGTTATAATTTCAAAATAATTGAAAACTCACCGAAAATATCGCCTTGAAGTCATGTCCACTAGACTGGACGTCATGCAATATGTAACTTAGAATTTCACTCTTGTGGTATGTTTATGAGTATAATTTTTACAGGGGTAGTAGCTTTCTTGTTCACATATTTTTTGCTTTTCTTGTCAAAGATTTATTATTGATTTAGGGATTTTCGAGGGCATTTTTTTATGTACTTACCTATATTATTTTGGTACAAATAAATAAATTTTATTTATTGACATAATATTACTTCTTCAATGGGAAATTTTATTCTATTTCAGAAAGTACTTTTTGCCGATGAAGACGACAATAGGGACGAAATACCTTTATGTTTACCAGAAAATGAAGAATTTATAGGTATTGATAATGATGACATTATTTATGATTTACCAGAAGGTTCAGATTTGGAATCTGATTACAATGACGAAGAGACGTATTTGCTCGAACATGTAACGGCTGAAGACCAAATTGATGAAAGTGACTTAGAAGAAATACAGCCAGAAAACAGTGACGATGATATGAGTGAAGATGACATTCCATTAGCTCAGCGTATTTTGGCATTTTCATCAAAACATAAAAGTCAAGAGAAAAAATCAAAAAAGGCTGAGAAAAAAGACTGGAAATGGTGCAATAATGACAGCATGTATGGGTCAGCAACTTTGCCATAGTTTAGAGGAACAGAAAATATTCATGTTCAAGGAAACAATCCAATTGATTATTTTTTATCACTGTTCACCGCAGACATAATGGATGATATCGTCTTTCAGACCAATTTATATGCTGGCCAAAACAATAAATTAAATTTTGGTTTTACAAAATATGAGTTATATGCTTTCTTTGGCATAAATTTAGTGATGGCGTACATCAGGTATCCCAGAATACGGCTTTACTGGTCAAGTGATAATGGCCTGAGAATGGACCTTATTGCAGATGCTATCCCTGTTAATAGATTTGAATCTATTTTGAGGTTTTTACATTTCGTAAATAATGATAATGTAAATCAAAATAACACGGACAAATTGCGAAAAATCCGACCATTTTTGGATAAAATTCAGAAAAACTTCTTAGGTGCCACAGATCCAGAGGAATACCAATCAGTTGATGAGCAAATTATTCCACTAAAAGGAAAATTAGGTATAAAGCAATACTTACCAAAAAAACCTAAAAAGTGGGGAGTCAAAGTTTGGGTAAGAGCTGGAATTAGTGGATATATGTATCGTTTTGAGGTTTATCAAGGAGCCTCAGGAGACAGAAGTCAAATTAGTAAACTTGGAGCGTGCGCTGATGTAGTTTTGCGTCTAACTGACGACTTGAAGAGAATAAATCATAAAGTATTTTTTGATAATTTATTTTGCTCACTTCCCCTTATCGAAGAACTGCATAAAAGAGGTATATGGGCGACAGGAACTCTCCGATTGAATCGACTACAAAATTGTAATTCTGTTATGAAAACAGATAAACAAATGAAACAAGAGGGTAGGGGAACTTCATCTGTTGCAAGTACTGAAGGTGGCAATATAATTGTATCTAAATGGCTAGACAACAAGACTATTTACATTGTTTCCAATTGTGCTGGAATAGAACCTAAGAATAAAACAAAACGCTGGTGTAAATCTACTAAGACTACTATAGAAGTGAACAGACCATTTTCTGTTCAGTTTTATAACAAAAATATGGGAGGAGTAGACCTGATGGACCAGTTGTTGGCCCTGTATCCTCTAAGGAGAAGAAACAAACGCTGGTACATAAGAGTTTTTATGCATTTTGTGGATGTTCTTGTTGTAAATGCATGGATTTTGTACAATAAAAACGGAAATCCAAAAAAAGATCTGCTTGAATTTAAAGCAAGTATTGCCAGAGCATTAATAAATTTGGGAACACAGAAAGAAAATAAACGAGGTAGACCTTCGTCTGGTACACCACCTCCCATTTTGAAGAAGAAGAAACCGAATCATCATGCACCCCCTGAAATTAGACAAAGTAATTGGGGGCACTGGCCACAACTAATTGATATACCAAATGCTCGAAGATGTCACTCTAAAGCTTGCAAAAGAAAAACAAAATACATTTGCAAAAGGTGCAATGAGCCGCTGTGTCCATCGTGTTTTGAATATTTTCATACCAGTAACTGAGGCTTCCGCGATTCTGCAAGTGCATAGTGACCACTAGAGTGGACGGACTATTTTTTAGGGTTTAAGAAAAAAATTTTATGTTTTTTCACTTAATATACTATTTTCTAATGTTAATTTTCAATATTTTGCAATAAAATAATTTTTCTAAGAAAAAAAAAATTTTTCCCTAAAATTATGCATGAGAGGGTTAATGAATTTGTACCACATGTGCAAACAATTCGAGAGATACAGAATTTACCAAGTCAAAAAGCTGTACTCTCATATGATGACCACCGAAGTTATTTTTTAAGTATTTGAATAATTGAGCTAGCATTAAAACATAATATTGACTTTATTAAGTTTCCCAGTCATTTAACTGACACATTGCAACCGGACAAATTTAATCGAAAAATTGCTGATTCGCTTGAAACTCCAGTAACAAGTAAAAATACAAATACAAAGAAACGTAAAGACTCATTGTCGTCATCTGATGCAAGTGGAACATAAGTATCTTATGTTGAGAGTGATGACAGTCCATGGGATGAACCGGTAGAAGCAGAGCTACAAGAACTAGAGGTTGCAGAACAATACAAACTCCAGCAAGGGAAATTTGTATTAGTAGAATTCAAGGGCGGTAAAAAGCTGACAAATCTTACAGATATCTTTGTATGATCGAAGATATTGATTGAGATGAAAATATAATTAAGGTTATAGCTCTAAAATGTATGAATGGTACCTGCAAGCAATTTTCCATACAGGAAACTGACATTAGCTTCGTCAACTTCCAACAAATTATTGGTATAGCCCCTGAGCCAAATATTTTTATGAAAGGTGAAAGAATGCTTTACAAGTTTCCTAATAAGTTAGATATTTTTGAACGTCAGTAAATAAGTGAATATTTATAATTTTAAAAATTCGTTTGATATATCTATGAAATTTATTTTGATAATAATTTTTTTTAAGTTTCCTTAGCACATTTGATATATTCGGGGGTAATTGGAAACATTGGCGTATTTAAGAGCGTAGGCGCAAAATTTCGGGCCAATGCTTTTTAAATGCATTCATGTTTTCCAATCCTGAGAAAACTAATAAGTATTTTTAAAAAATTTAAACACAGAAGAAAATATTACATTATTATTGAGGGCCGAAAGTCCGAGAAAACTTCTATAATGTTTATTTTAGTAAGTTACAGGGGTGAAAAAAAAAGAGAAAATTAAGTGTGATTTTTGATTTAAAATATCTCATTCAAAAGGTAATTTTTCATTTTGCGTTTAAATTTTTAAAAAATATTTAATAAGTTTTCTAAGAATTCGAAAAAAAATGCATTTATAAAGCATTGGCCCAAAATTTTGCGCCTACACTCTTAATAAAACCAACTTGTACGATTTTTAGATTACAACCCATGTACCTATCATTTTACTCCAGTTTCGTTTAGATTATGTTTAACACAACCAGAGATCGTTGTTTACATTTACCCCCTTTTTTAGATTTTTTCTTAAAATTTGTGGGGTAAATGGAAACATTGGATACCTTCTTTTTTGTGACATTTTTTACTAGTTTTTAAGACATTCTACCGTAAACTTTTCGTATTTTACTTTCGTATTAAATTTCAACTAGTGTTTCCAATTACTCTGACTGACCCTATGTAAAATGTTAGGCATTTTTAGACAACAGCTTTTCTTGCTAATCGTTAATGTTTTTATATTCCGGAGTTTTGATGATACAAAATTCACACACTTTTTAAAATAAATGTTAAAGGGATCTCCATAAAGTAGGGATACAAGATTTGTGTAGTTTTAACCTGCTGCGTATTTAGACATCGGATTAACAATATTTTAAGTTAACAATATTTTCCTATTCTTTTTACATCTTAAATAATTTATTCTTATTGTAAGAATGTATTCCTACTTTTTGAACATCCTTTGTACTAAATGATATAAAACTTATAAAATACTTCAATGAAAACGAATTAAAAATACGCCACATCCGTGATGACGTTATACAGTCATTTTCTATGAGGTTAGCTACAGTTTTTGAATCAAAATAAACTGAATAGCCTGTAAAATTTATAATAACAGTTAATTTTTAACATAGAAATATAATACAATATAGACTGATCGTTGCAATACCAGCCCATTTTACAACCCACGCAGGGTTGTAAAGTCCGAACGACGATGATGATGGTATGTAACAGCTCAGTTATTCATGGGCGAAAATATTAAACTAAAAATAGACAAATATTTCTGAAAATGGTTAGAAATTAAACTCGGTTAGTTTTTGTTCAACAGAACCTCAAAATCTCCATTTTTTAAACCGCCGAAGTCAAGTACCTTAAAACTTGTAAAGGAAGCTTTATTTCTTCTGCAAATCGTGTAAACGAGACTGGAACTCATTTGGCGATTCCTTCTTTGGACCTGCCTACAGTATTTTTAATTTCTTAAAGTGTCTAGCTATATAATACCACTGATATCATGAACCATGTTGATGCTGGTAACTCTCGGGGTGTTCGGCGATATAAAATACGTAGATTAAAGGTAAAGCAAGAATTAGAATAACGGTGCAACCCATTAGAACTTTCCATGATATATCTGCGTCGGCTCCACTACAACTTAATCTAGACACAATCTGAAACAAAAACAAAAAAGACTTAATTTTGTCCCCATTCCTTTGCTAAGTTCGCTGAAAAAATCAAAAATGCTAATTGCTAAATACTTACCGAATCTGTTTCTATCACAGTATTTTGTGGTAACAAACTAACTTCCTCATCGCAGGCGTTTTCTATATCCGGACTTAACCTGTCATTTGGTTTTTGGGAAATTTGGCTATTAAAAATGATTTCATTGACTTCGTCTTTAGATGCTGACGATATACTTTCACTTAATTTCAAATTGACTGAATCTATATCTATCAGCATCCCTACAGGTGGCACAGCTGGTAGATCTGGAGAACTATTTCCACTGATGTGAACGCTCGCTAAGGCTGACGTGAAGGGTCTATGAGGCACTTTGATAACTCTCTTGGCAAAAATTTCATTTTCTTTGTGTATGTTATTAATTCGTTTTAGCTCCGCAATCTATAATTTAAAAATAATGTTAACTATCTATATCTAATCTACAATCTAAAAGGAAGTCTGACATTGTGGAGTACACCAAAATAAAAGGAGTGAGATATTTTATACTGAGTATGGGCCTTCCTCTTAGATAGAACCAATTCTTTAAGTTCTCTAATACACCATCTTTAATAATTAGACAGAAACCTCCGTTTAAGTGGTAAAAACTGATCATTCCAATCCATCCTTAGATAATCAGCCAAACCAAACAAAAGAGAGAGTCTGCAAACCTCAATGACATCGAAAAAACAAAGATAGTGACATGAAAAAGACATTAAAGAGGTACTTAGACATTATTGATTACACAAACATGTATGACATATTAAATAAAAGTATAGAGAACAGGGAATATAAAGACAGAAAAACAAAGACTAAATCATATAAAAAAGATGTAACAACCAAGAAAAACAAAAATGACCATATGACAAATAGTCCTTACAGAGTTGCATCAGTATTAAATATCACAGAAAGGTGTATGGCATATGAAATGAAAGTATGTAAGATAGTGAATATAATGATATAGACAAACAAATATTATATCTTGGCAAAAAGTATTATGGAGTTTTTTCAATGTTAATGATAACACAGTAACACATAAATGAATGGGAATATATTGAAATAAAGATAATATATACCCAGAATGCCACTAAGAAATTATTACTCAAATATAATAATAATAATGGTCAAATCTCAATGTATATTGGAAAAGGGTTGCCCTTGATGGAAAAGGGATGGGGTGTGTAATATAACAACAAAGATGATGACATGGCAAAAAAATAAGAGAGATATTCCTATAATATTAAATGAAAATCAATAATATAAGATGATCATTTGGTTCTTTAAACAACTTACAAACAGTTAATTTCTGTTGGAGAAATGCTTAGACCTCATCCTACGAACTGTATGCTGTTTATCTATAAAATATGTTTCATGTATATTATACAGTATAATATATTTACCAAACTATTTCTTTTATAATTTTCAGTGCATCTTTGATCTTTTACCTGATGGAATCTAGTCTTTAATAGTTGAAAGAGATTTGGTTTATTAACTCTTACATTTTATGATTTAGTGATGGTATTTGATAGGTTAGTAGCTTTTCCTCTTTTGCTAGTATTAGCAATGTTTTATTTGTATTAAGCTCTAATATAAAGCACAACAATGAATCATGAGATTATATGTTCTACATGAACTACTTAAGTTCTAGATCTAAACTTAAGATCTAGTTTTATGAGTAAATGATTTTAAAGCTAACATTTACACCTTAAATGCCACAATGCATATTAAAAAAAAAAGTTGTGTGGGTCAAAATATTAAATACATTTACAGTATTAGTTTATGCATTTTAAATAGTTATACTTTAGTTGAGTACAAAATCTTACATTTTTATTGTTTTTTAGAATTATTTTAAGTGAGCAGCATGTGTGCATCTCATGGCCACAAATAACATTTGGATTCCTGGAGCCATGTGATGTACACTTGCTTCTCGTATAAGATAAGAATAAACCTGTTGTAACTTGTTTATTTTATGTTACATTCGCTAGACAAATGCACTATGTGTTAGCGGTGTTAGTTATTAGTTAGTTGTCGGTAGGCGAGGTTCTAGTGTGTATTATCAGTTCTCAATATGTCATATGAAAAGGAGCAAAAGCGTTTGCAAAAGCTTGTGGAAGAGTTTTTTTCAGACAAAGAGAATGATGACAGTGTTTGTGATAAAAATTTTGAATTAGATAGTGATGACGAAATAAGTAGTTCTTCGTCAAATCAAGGTGTTCCGGAAAGCAAAAGACAAAAAATGAAAGGTAATTTACAAGATTTACCTTCAACAGAGCAAAACTTACGTACAGTAGATGATACCATTGAAAATGTTATTTTCCAATATCGACTGCCAGATGATGAAAGCTCATCAGAAGACGATGACATTGTGATTGATCATAACCAGCCCTTGTTATGGAACATGGCAGATGGTCAGAACTTGAAAAACATTACATTCAGTGTTCAAGACTCGGGTATCAAAGCTGAGTTTTTTGAAATGCATGATAAAACTCCCCTTGACGTTTTTCAACTATTTGTGAATGACGATATTATTGATTGGATTGTGCAAGAAACTAATCAATATGCACATCAAAAGATAAATATAGGTGGTCACATTCCAAAAGCTAGAATTCATGGTAGATACAAATACTGAAGAAATAAAGACATTTTTGGCCATTCTTGTCTGGATGGGATTGCAAAGATTGCCAAAGTTGTGTTCGTATTGATCAAAAAATCCATTATACGAAAGCAAAGTAAAGTGTCTTTAAATTTACACTTTACTGACAATGAAAATAGTGATAAAGGACTTCACTGTATAAACTATCACCCCAATTGGAGAAATTGATATCAAATTTTCAGAAAGTGGTAGTGCCAGGGGAAGAACTCTGCATTGATGAAACTGTAGTTCTATTTAGGGGCCGACTGTCATTTCAGCAGTATATCAAAAATAAGAGACATAAATTCGGGGTGAAGGTATAAAAACTCTGTTTTGATGGAGGTTTACTCATGATCTACAAATTTATTGTGGTAATGATAAAACTGAAAATATGTCAGTTCCGGATAGTGTTGTGTTTAGTTTAGCTAATAACTTATTAGATGTTGGACATACTATATACACAGACAATTTTTATACTAGCGTTACATTAGCACATAGGTTGCTAAACAAAAATACAAAATTGGTGGGAACTTTGAGGCAAAACAGGAAACTTAATCCGAAAGAAGTGACAGGTGCAAAATTAAAGAAAGGGGAGATTATTGGGGTGGAGAGTAACACAGGGGTAGTAGTAACTAAGTGGAAGGACGAACTCGAAGTGCTTATGCTTAGTACAAAGCATACTGCTGAAATGGTAGACATCCATTAAAGGGGAGGAATTATTGAAAAGCCAGTTTCTGTAGTCCACTACAATAAGAGCAAAGGATTTATAGAGATATCCAACCAACTAAAGGCTTACTCTACAGCATTACGAAAATCAGTGAAATGGTATCATAAAATGGAAATTGAGCTCCTTCTAGGGTCAGCTATTGTCAACACCTATATAATTTATCAAAAAGTAACCAACATTAACATGTCCATCACATCTTTCAAGGAAGAGTTGATTTGTCAACTTGTAGATTTCACTAGACTAACTAAGCCAGAACAACATATGTCACATGTTCGTGAAGGTCACCACATGGAGGAAGTGCAATGTTCAGACAGAAGAAGATGTGTCACATGTTACGCAAAAAATTCAGCAGATAATGGTAGAAAATTTGCACAGACTAAAACTCCCTTTTCCCGTTTCAGGTGCATTCAGTTTCATTTATTTCCTAACTAGAAACATGTATTGCTAATTTTTAAGGAACATTTACTGATCTTTTGCATTCACAAACAGTTGTTTATGTTATATATAAATAAAACTTAGTTTCAAGCTACATAATAACATATTGTTTTATTGCTAGACACTAGTATCCTAAAAATGCAGGATAAATATATAAAAGAGTTCATCAGGCCACTGAGAAACTGTATTCCAAATAAATGAATGGGTACTGTGAAGCGCAGATGTACCAAGTAGCCTGAAATACACTAAGGGTATGAGATGCAAAGGTGCTTATCATGGCATCAGTAAGTTCAGTGACTTAGATGCACACTTGCTTCTCATGACATTTAATGTGTTAAGCTTTAAAATACAGCTGAACTTTTAAAACTACCTGTGAAACTAACAATAGATTAAGTCACATCCAGCACTCCCACATGGACCAAGCTAATGATGTAAATACCACTATTTTACTATTTTATTGTTGTTTGTTTGTGTTTAAATGACTGCGGACACTAAATCCATTCGCCAATCTTACAATTTGAGGTGTAGTGTGTGTGTGTGTAGAGTAATTGTCTTGATACTTAGCAAAGTCGACGTCATTGTCTTTGCTAAGAGACGCTAATTGTATCCCAACGTCTGCGGTCCCTCCGGTGTGTACCGATCACACAAGGATAGAAATTATTTTCGTTTATTAATTTTTTTAATAAACGAAAATTTCCACCCAGGTGGGATTCGAACTCACGACCTTTAGATTTAAAGGCAGGCGCTCTTACCACTGAGCCACAGAGGGGGTTACTACTTTAATAAAAGTACATACTTTATACAATTTTAATTTAAGCATGGAAATAAATGTTTGATGAAGTGGTAACTAAACATTTTAATAACTGTACTTTTCTAAACCTAATATTAACCATCAAGTAGTCACTAAATTAGTAATTTAAAAATCAGGATGTTTGAGCTTATTTCAGTATGTTACATCTGTCTAAACATTTTTTAATTTTATATATACTAATTAATAGTTACCGGACAATGATATTTTATGGCTAGTGACTGTAAAGTATCTCCCTCTTCAATAACTTTTTCTACTGTTGGAAATTCTATCCTCTGTGGCTTATTTCTAACAAACAATTCAGTTTCTTCTCCTTCATCACTATCACTGTCTTTGTGTTTTAACAACTTATATGATTCTTCTTGTCTATGTCTAAAATTTAACAAAAAGTATTAGAACATTTATTCTATGGAATTTAAAAGATTTTTCTTACTTTTGTCTTAATTTAATCATATTTTTAAAAGTATTTTTATTTTTGACGTTTCACTTTTTGAGGTTACAGATGTGAAGTACGTGTCTGTAATGTCAACAATTAATTTTATAAATACACGTCTATCTGTCAACTTCCAGTGCGCCACCATTAAAAACCAAAAAGAACAAAAAAGTTATAAGTGCGAAGTTAGCAAATCAAAGGATTATTCATAGGCGGGCGCATAATTTTGCACGGATTTAATGTATACCTTTATAAAAAATAATATACATATAGCTTTTCTCGTTGTTCTCAATTTTCAAATACATACTTCATGCTGTCATGGATATGCACTATAAAAGGGCTAGATTAAAAGTATTCTTTGATAATTAATACATTTTTATTTGTAACTGGTGAAGACTAATATCTAATAATTCAATAATATAGATTTACCTAGGAACGTCATTAATTTAATTTGGCCTATAGCTCATTATTTTTCAATCTTATAATTTATTAATTATCGACCTTTTAGTAAAATTGTTAAAAGATGTTTCTCATAATTTGGCATATTGTGAAACTACAAAAAATAACTTATAAGAGTTATAAGTTTATTTTTAGTAAATTAAGAAGTAAACAAAATATTGAATCGTAAGTATAGGAAATAGTTTCTGAGATTATTATTATACCCTAAAGAAAACAGTTTCTCAATTTTACACTAAGAATAACATATAGAATCTTCATCTAAATAGAAGTTTATTTTATTAGATGAAAATGTTTAAAGGGGAATCATTCTCTAGAGTCTTAGCAGAAGAAACGCTACAAAGTCGAAAAGTGCGATTTCTATTAGAGTAGCAGATAAAACAGGTATTGATATTGTTTCTCTCCAGAATATAAAAGCACTTTCAATAATAGAAAAACAGACCCTACGTACACACTTCATCTTCTAGCCCATAATCATTCTTTTAATGACGAATTTCAAATTCTTCACATTCAAAATAAAGGCCTTAAGCTATTTATATTAGAATCTATGGAAATCAACAGACTAAAAAATACAGTAAACATTGTTTCGTTTCTTGATGCGTATTTTCAGAATGTACCAAGCATGTTCAATAACGTTCATGTCGGGGGAATTCGAGGGCCACTGTAATGTAGATATTCCTTCTCCTTTCAGAAAGTTTTGTACTGCTGCTGTTCGATGGGGAGGGGGGGGTGCGTTGTCATGCATAAACACAAATCCTTCATCTACTTCCCCTCGGAATAGACGTATGACAGGATTTAAAACTTCCTCGATGTACATAGCACCAGTGACTCTTCTCTCCAGAACCAGCAGTTGCGTCCTTGTACCACTCATAATACCACCCCAAACCATAATACTGTCACCTTCAAATGGGACACGCGGTTGGGCTGTTTCTAATCGGGCTTGTCGTCCTGTGGCCCTCCAAACAAGTGTTCTTCGCAAATCAGATACCAAGCCAATGTTTAACTCATCAGAGAACATCACGTTATTTCAGTTAGGACCATGATGCACCATTTCTCTAGATCATTGCAACCTTACTATTTTGTGTTGGTAGGTTAGTTTAGGAACACGTAGCGGTCTTTTACGATACAAATTTACCGCATTTAGTCTGCGTATTATTGTTTGCCGTGAAATATTCAGTCCTTGAAGCCTAGAAATTTCCCTGGATATACCACTTGCAGATTCCAGACGATTTCTACGAGCTATGTATCAATGTTATTTGCCGGTCTTGTGCTGCTGTTATACATCGACTTCTACCACTTCTGGGACGATCCTTGACGTCATTTGTATCTTTTAATTATTTTTTAATTTTCGATACAGCATTCTTTGTAACATCAACAATATTCGCGATATAACTTTGACTAAAGCTCTGTTGTAACAAAGCAATTACTTTAGATCTGTCAAAATGAGATATCACGTTTCTAGGCATTTTTAAATGGCTCAATTCAAATTTAAACAAAGACTGAAATAATGTGTAAATACGCTAATTAGTTGAATGTGACCAAAATCATACAAAAACGATTCAAATTTTTTATCATTTTTATTTAAAAACGCTCTAGAATGAACATCAACAACAATTTTAAAACCACCATAGACGTAGATATATTATTTGTACGTATTCCAAACTTTTCGACATATGTGTAGATCACTTGAGTTGGCACTCAGGCAGAAACAGCTGTAGTGATAATAATTTAAAAGAAATTTAATTTAATTTAAAAGAAAGTTTTGAAAACAAAAGTTTTTAGTGTTTTATTTTTAGATTAAATAAATTTCCATCGAGTAAGGGTCGAGTCCATCACTTATTAATAAGTATTGTTACTTTATATCTATTGTAGGCGTGTATAGCCGTAGTATACGATGTTTGGTTCAAGATTATGAAAATACGAGAACTTTGTCGACAACAAAACCAATTGAGCATCGTAAAAATATTATTAACTGAATTTGACGAAGAAGCAATAAGAAAAATAATCCACGAATTCTTTTTTCGAAATTAAATACCCACAATAGATAAATTTCTGAGAATTTTTTGTTACTTGGTGAAAAATTCTTCTAATATATATTTTTTATTCTTTAACTTAATAATGTTTGTGTTTCTGAGGATTGTTAATGAAGATCTGGTTTTACCTAATTTCAAAAGAACTACCTACGTTTTTTAAATTATTAAAAAAAATACATTTTAAGTTTAAACGTCGTCAGCGAAACAGCGTTTTGATGGGTAGGGATGAAATTGTCTTATGGAAATCAGAATTTCTGGTCAAAATACAGTCGTGCAGAAATTAAAACCGCTGAATTTGGCTAAACGATGGTCAAACCAAATCTAAATTATGGGTTGACAATTCGGCAACATCTTATAAACAACCGTTTTTAGATGGACTTTCTACAGGGTTAAAAAATCCTTCAGGTAAATGTTATATGTGCTTTTTCATCATCATCATCATCATCACTGGCTAGACAACCCTTTTTGGGTCTTGGCCTGTTCAAGGATTCTTCTCCATTCTGACCTGTTTCGTGCTTTTTTTTCCAGTTTTTAATTTTTAATGTTGTTATATAATTTTCTATTTGTTCTGCGTATCTCAGCTTCGGTCTTCCTCTTGTTCTTTTTCCTACTGGCACTTGTTTGAATATTTTGTTTGGTATTTCGCCTTCTTCCATTCTTTCCACATGTCCAATCCAACGTAGCCTTCCTATTTTAATGAATGTTATGATATCCGAATCCTGGTATATGTTGTATAGTTCAAAGTTATACCTTCTCCGCCAAATCCCGTTTTCTTTTGTGCCCTTATATATGTGTCGCAAGATTTTTCTTTCAAAGGTGGCTAATAACGTTTCCTCCCTTTTAGAGAGTGTCCAGGTTTCTGAACCGTATGTGAGTACCGGTCTTATTAAGGTTTTGTATATTTGGCATTTTGTTTTTCTGGAGACGTTATCTGATCTTAGTTGCCTAATTAAGCCATGGTAACATTTATTGGCAATAAATATTCTCCTCTTCACTTCCTCTACAACGTTGTTATCAGACGTAGCAAGGGATCCTAAGTATGTAAAGGTTTTTACCGCCTCAATGTTGTATTCTCCTATTGTTAAATTTGGCAGCTGCTTTATTTGTGCGTTTTTATTTGCATGCATATATTTTGTTTTTGTCTGATTGATTTTAAGACCACTATTTTTTGCAGCTCGTTCTCTTTGAGTGAATGCCTCTATCATTTCTCTTCTTGATCTTGCGATTATGTCAACATCATCTGCAAATGCTAGTACTTGCACGCTTTTATTAATTATTGTTCCTCGGGTATTAATTGTTGTGTCTCTTATTATTTTTTCAAGTATGATGTTGAATAATATGCATGATAGAGCGTCTCCCTGGCGTAGTCCCTTCTTCACATCTATTGTTTCCGTTAATTCGTTTTGTATCCGGATTTTACTTTCTACTTTTAGTGTTTCTTTTATCAATTCTATTAGCTGTGTTGGTATATTAAATTCTTTCATTGCTTTTGTTAGGAATTCTCGGTTTATATTGTCATATGCGCTTTCGAAGTCTATGAAGAGATGATGTGTGTCGATGTTATATTTACTTGTTTTTTCAAGGATCTGTCGCAGAACAAATATCTGGTCTATTGTTGACTTCTGTCTACAGAAGCCACATTGGTATTTGCCAACTATTTTTTCAGCGTATGGTCTAAGTCTTTCATACATTACGTTGGACATTATTTTGTATGCCGCATTCAACAGCGTGATTCCACGGTCGTTTTCACATTCTAACTGGTTTCCTTTTTTATGTAGTGGTACAATAATGCCGCTATTCCACTCCTTTGGTAGCTGTTTATTCAACCATATCTTTCTTATCAGCTCATGTATGGCTTTAAGTAATGCGTCTCCTCCTTCTTTCAGTAGCTCCGATGATATTTGATCCGATCCCGGTGATTTATTGTTCTTTAATTTGTCCACTGCTGTTCTAATCTCTGCTATTGTTGGTGGACTCTTTTCTCTGTTGTCTGCTTGGTCTAACGGTATATCAGGATTCATCTTCGTCCTATTCACCCCAAGCTTTTCCTTAAAATGTTCTGTCCATCTTCTAAGTATCTCTTGTTTCTTGTCTCTGTTGGTTTACTTAGTTCTTGTAGTTCTTGAAGTTCTTGGTTGATATATTCTCTCTTCTTTCTTCGGTGAATTTTCTTTTCTTCTTTACGTAGTTGTTTATATTCTTCCTCTGCTTGTCGGGTTCTGTGCCTCTGTTGCATCTGTAGATATGCTCTGTTTTTTCTTTCTGTTATAGTTTGACATTCTTCGTCAAACCAGTGATTCGTTCTTGTTCTTCTTTCTTTACCTTCCATGCCCAACACCTCTTTAGCTGTTTCTTTTATGATTTCTCTGCACTCTTCCCACTCCTCATTTAGGTTTTCATGTTTTAGTCTGTTTTCTAGTTTGATGCTTATATTTTCTTTGTACTCTCTATTTTTGTTTGTTTCTTTGAGTCCTTCTATATTGTGCTTTTTCACTTCAAGTAAATTTAAAAATAACCAAATTTTCAGGAAAAGGATAGAGACTAATAATTGGTCACATTGACAGTGAAGATGAATTTGTTCTAGAAGCGCTGTGGTTGTTGGAATAAAAAAAGTGGATACTACCATGAAGAGATGGACAGGAAATCTTTTGAAAACTGGTTCACAAATATACGGCCACGATTAGAAGAAAACTCTATCATCGTATTGGACAACGCACCTTATTATTCCAGAAAAATTGAGAAAATTCCAACTACTGCTTCTAGAAACGCTGATCCCAAGCGTGGGATACTTGATCCCAGGATCAAGTATCCCACTTTGTGTTTCTTTTAATCTAGTGTTTAATGTAATTAATTTTATTCATGTTTATTGTTTCAGATGCCACGTAAGTACTCAACTGAAATAGGAGCAACGAAAAGACCTGATGCAGAAAATGTTAAAGCGGCTGTAAATGCGGTAAAAAATGAAGGAAGCTACAAAGTATCCGCTAGGCAGTTCGTAATAAATGTCATGACATTAAAGAGGTTGTGCAGAAAAAACATGATATCTCTCCCAGGCTACAAGGTGCGCCAGGTTTTTTTCACTTGACCAGGAAAAAGAACTTGGTATGTTTTCTAAAGATATGTCCAAGATGTATTACGATCTTACTGTGGTGCAACTGCTCAAATTGGTATACTCCTATACTGCAACAAATAGGATATCATATCCCCCTGTCTGGGATAAAACAAAGCAAGCTTGCCGCGACTGGTACCGAGGTTTACTTGATAGAAACCCTACGCTGTCATTAAGAACACCAGAAGCCACAAGCTTAGCACGAAGCTCGGCTTTTAATCGCCACACAGTTGGTACATTCTTTAATCAATTAACAAATGTTTATACATGGTACCAGTTTCCTTCTGAACGTATAAATATGGAATATTGACGAAACTGGCCTCTTGGCCTGGAAACTTTCACTACAGTACACAAAGCTGCTAAAATAATTGCTGTGAAAGGGTCGAAGCAGGTGGGCAAAATTACGTCTGCAGAACGAGGCAAACTGGTTACTTTGTATGTTGGCATCAATTCTGCAGGGGGTCACATGCCTCCTTACATGATATTTCCAGAAAATACTGGTAGGACAGGTTTCTAAGCCATGCACCTCCTGGCAGCAATACAACAACATATCCCAGTGGATGGTTGACTTGATCTGGTTTTCTGAAGTTTTTGGAACACTTTGTTCGTTTTACTCAGCAAAGCCTAGATCGGAAACATTTAACTGTTATGGACAACCATGAGAGCCACTGCTCATTGGAGGCTATAATTTATGAGAGAGACAACGGCATTGTATTTCTTACAATTCCGTAGCACATCTCTCATAAGTTGCAGCTATTGGACCACGCGGTTTTTGGTCCACTAAAGGCTTACTACTTCCAAGCAGCTTCCAATTTTATGCTCAAATTTCCCGGGAGAACTATTACCATTTACGACATTGCAAAACTACTTGGAGATGCGTTCCCCCGAGCCATGGCTTCCTTCAAATATCATAAGTGGATTCAAGGTATCTGGAATATGGCCGGTAAATCCAAACATATTTACTGAATACACGAATTTATGACCAGCGCTGTCACGGACCGTCCAGATTCAACTTTGATTCAGGAATCAGTTCTGGATCCAATACAGCCAACGCCTAGTGCTAGTACATCAATAGGACATCATGCCCTATCCCAAGGCAGCACCTCGTACCCAATCTTCTCGATTTAGAAAACGGGGGCGCTCTCGAATCCTGACTGATACTTCTGATTCTACTGATTCTCTTAAGAAAGCTACAATCAATAAGAAAAGAGCAGAAAAGCTTCCAACACTTGGAAACACTGAACTTTTAGATTCGACTGATGAAGAGGAGGATGATCTTCCCAGCCTTCCGGATAGCAGCGGTGGCTTTGATGTCCTTTTAGATGATGGGCTTATTAATGACACGGATCCTGAGCTAGACGACTACGTTTTAGTCAAGTTTTGTACTAGAAAAACAATGAAGTTTTGCGCCTGAAAGAAAATACATTGGAAGTTAAATTCTTAAGACTGAATAGACTAGAAGGAAGCTGTTTCACTTTTCCAACAATAGAGGACGTCAGCGAAGTGGACCGGGCAGACGTACAAAAGCTGCCGCAGTCGTCCGTCAGCAGAACGGCCAGGACTGCTGACATTATAAAATTTAACCATAGATTTGATGCTAATGTTTTCTAAATAATTTTTCTTTTTTTGGCTCAATTTATTTTTGTATTTTATGTTTTTATTTAATAAAGTAGCTAGTTTAATTTGTTTCATTATTTAATTTAATTAACTTTCATAATTGGCAATAATTACTTATGCTATGCATCGTAGGTGGGATACTTTATCCCAGGGATCAAGGCACTAATGTTTTACAAGAACTGATCTACCTTATTTGTTCTACAAGAAAGAGATTCTAGGTGAACACCCAGTGGAACAAGATAACCACATTAAGAACCTGTTTAATGAAATTAAGAAAATAACTATTATGGTCTGAAATAATCTTTAAACACTAAAACAGGGATCAACCACCCCACCTCTCCCCTAAGATCATCGCATATCCCCTAAGACTACTATTTGAAGTTTATATGGCGATATCACTAACCAAAGGTTCGAAGCACTTTATCTTCTTTAATAAGCTTGCATTTAATAATATGAATACCTGTTTGGTATTTAAGTTAATATTTTTGTCCTAAAAAATATTTAGGAACCCGCCTATGTCAAGAATTAAATTATTCAAGAAAAAAATAGTAAATGTAAAAAAAAAATAATAACTGTCATTTAAAGGTGTTTTTTACTAACGAAAATAATAAAATTAACAAATCTTCATAGTAAAGTTCTTGTAAAAACAAAATAGATCTTACCACAAATATTACAAGAAGTTTAATAAAACATAAATATAACCGCAAAGAACAAATTCCAATTCTGCCAACATAACCAGTTTTCCCCATTTCAATCTTTTCACTTTACTGGTATTAAGTATTAAGGTATTGGTATTCTCATTCTCAAGACTGTGTGATAGAAGTTCTTGAATTCCCTAAACTCGTTAATTTATGTAGATTTATTATATTTGTATTAAAAATTGTGATTGTAAGCTAATTATTTTTGTAGTGTTTTAAATATAGATACAGTGGCGAATATCATACATTATAATACAGGTAAATACTCATATGAAAATGTCTATTTTTATAAACATGAAATGGTCCCCGGTAGTTCTTTTAAGTGGTCATTTGCTACGTGGCTCTTAATCAGTTCGCTATTTTACTGTTAGTACTTCAAATTGCTCTTTAAATAAATGCATTTTTAATTGTACATTCATTAAAATTTCAATTATGGGCATAAATTTAAAAGGTACCATACAAAAGTGACATGAGAGAATACTGGGGACTTCCTAGTGTTACCCACAAATTAGAAACATTTGAATATTTAAAAGATCCACTTATTTTTTATTTTAAGCTTACACTTTTATTTTTAATTTTGTTTAATGAAAATGGATGTAATAATTATCAATGAAAATATATTATTTTAATAAATTGTCTCAGTATGTATTTATAAAGTATTGTGCCTGTTTTTCTATTTGTGACAATAAAATATGATGCCCTCTGCGTGATTTCCAAAAGTTTTCATTTGTTGAAACCCTTTTTAACTCATATAACTGATCATATTTACTTTTACTCTTCTTATATTTTTTGTATTAAATTTTCTTAATTACATACCATGTAGTAAACTTCTCCCATAGACTTTCAGTCAGGTGTTGTTTTCAACCATATTTATTCACACTGTAACTTCCTAGTTTTTTCCTTAGTTTTCTCAACAATAAATAATAAATTACCACTTGTTTATTGGAAAATATGTTATATTTAAGGAAAATGGATTTGACCATTCTAATATTCATAGCCCTGTTTGCTGTTGCATCTTTTCTATTATTTGTGGTGTATAAGTTTGGAATTAAGGAGAAGAGTTATGAAGAGGCATTGGCTGAGCAACGGCAGCAAACTAATATTCTACTGGGCACAAAATCCAAGCCTAAAGAGAAGAAAAGCAAAAAGGCAAATAAAAAGGTAAGTTTTTATCATACTAGATTGATTTACTTAATAAATAATCAGTCATTGAGCATGTAATAGCTATGGTTTAAAATCTAATGGTAAAAAGTGTTCATTTTTGAGAAATTAAACTGTTATATTCATTTTTATAACCCTGTATTACTTAGTTTTTATTAATCATAAAAAGCTGTACATATAAGTTTTTTAACTATTTTGCCATTTAAATCTTTTCTAGGTTTTATTGTTCTCTTATATTAATATTTTGCTAAATTTACATTACATTCAAGATAACAGAAATATAGTTGTTGCTGTTGGTCAGGATTTTCTGATTAGGCTTTCTGAGAAGTTTCTGAACAACATGTTTACTATTTACCAGCTTCTGTTACTGCGTCATACAGATCAATAGTGGTATATATTTGTTTGACTTTGTACCATTTAAATAATTTTAAAGGCATTTCATTGTTGCGTTTTATATCTTTTCAAGGCAGAAAATGTATGTTTTTGCAAACTGGAGATCAACAAAATATTTTGAAGCCTTATAAGCTCTATTTCATGGGAAATTTGACTTGGACATCTTGGACTGTATGTTAAGTTTCAAAACCTTGTATTATTGATCTATAACTTAACTATACTTCATCTAATTTACATGCCAATGCACGTCATTGGCGTCATAGCTTGTGACGTCACATGATACCAATACGAAATATTTAGGTGGTAGGTGTGTTCTTTTTTAGAATCACTTTGCCGAGTACACTGGCATTACAGCCACTATATATGTTTCATTTAATTTGTGTAAATGTATTATAAAGCGTTTTTATGAAGAACATTTGTTCATAGTCAAGTTTCATAGTTTAAAAGACAGGAAAATAGTTTCTAACTGTTACTTAAATCTATATTCATCAAAAGCCTGCAAAACTCATCACTTATAAATGTCAAATAAGAGTTTAAACTTTTTAAAGTTTTGATACAAAAAAATTAATCAAAAGTTGTGTAAATTTGTCTGAAAATTTAGAAACTAATAAACTCTTTGTATTTGTTATATTTTCCTACTTATTTTCAGTTGTTTGCCTCACTATAACTTTGTTGTGGTATTTTTAAAAAGTTTTTTTTTAATTTTGGGTAAATTTTAAATGTCATTCAGCTATTATGAACATTTTGTTAATAATAATAAAAAAATCTACAATTTATTTAAATGAAGACCTAAAAAATCTCTTGAAGCCTCATTAAGCTTCATATGAGCTTATGAGACTTAATAAGGCAAGTCTTGAAAACTCCTTTTTTTATCTAAATTTACATTTTAGGAAAATATATAAATCTTATCAGCTGCTGTCAATAATTTCATATATAAATCTCTAAATAACAGTTTAACAAAAAACTGTTATCAAAATTGCTTCTTCTTACTGTTTGAGAATAAAATGAATGTTGTACTCAGGGGAGTGCTGACAGAAATAAAAACTTTATATGTTGCTGAAAAATGCTTTTACACCTATAACTTTATGTGATATATGACCTATTAATAGAAAAAAATGAAAGAAGTGTGTAAAAAAAATCCCAGTCCAAAACCTTAAATACATAAAAAGAAGAAGATAACATATAGACCCTAAATTTAGTAAGGTATTTCCTTGAACCAAGAAGAACCTAAGTTCCAACTTTGAAGGCTCTAAGACTGTTACTTGGGGAAAAAGACTAAAAAGGGATAAAATATAAGACTTATTGATCCCAAATTCAACAATATTCTTCCTGACACCAAGAGGTATCTAAGTTTCAAGACTCTGGGACTTTTTCTTCAAGAAAAAGAAAACATCTACAATACAAGAAACTTATACAAGAATATGAGAAGCAGAAGAAGGCCTATTGGCACCTAATTGATTAGTATTCTTTTTTACAACAAGAAAAACCTACAAACCAAGCTTTAGGATTCTAGGTCTTTAGTTTAAGAAAAAAACATAAGAACAGAAGATTATTAATTCCAAATTTAATAGTATGCTTGCTTACACCAAGAAGGAATCTATGCATCAAGTTACAAATGTCTGGAACTTTTCTTTCAAGAAAAAAAAGACAAGAAGAAGACCTATCAATCCCAATACCTTCAATAGTCTTCTTCCTAAAATTGTTCCTACTGGAAAACAAAAGCATAATAATGAATAGACTTTTTCATTGAGAAAAAGAAAACATCTAAGAATGTGAGAAAAAAACCTACTGACCTAAAATTTCAAACAATTCTTTATGTCAAGGGAAATCTTGTGTAGCACATTTCAAGATTTGAGAACTTTTCTTTAGGCAGATGACAAAATTTCAATAAAGATCTGTTATGTAAGTTTCTTAATAATTACAATTAAGTAATTTATGAAAACATCAAAACTGAAAAGAACAATTTATAAGAAATCAAGATCATTAAATAAGTAGGCAATTACGGCTGTTCAAATCTGACCTCGAGATGTCCAGTCAAATATGAAAGAGGCCAATAATGGTAACATGGATATTACTCTAATTGTAAAATGGTGTATTATTCTTGAATAAATTCAGATCTGTCTTATTTAACCATCATATGAGGTAATACTAATCACAAACATATTCATTCTCTTACAATAGTACAGAACAGCTATTAAATATGTTTTTCAACTACCATTCGTTCATCCAACAGAAGGTCTGCATTGTCCAAGAAGAATATTTAATAGTGAATCAATGTGCAGTAAAACCTCCGTTAACCGAAATAATTGGGGGAGGCCATTTCGGATAACAATAATTTCGGTTAAAAATAACATTGTTTTTTATAGTAATCTTGGTTAAAGTATTGGTATTAAAAAATACTATGAGGTGATTTCGTAATGTTTTCTAATAAGTAAATACAGAACAAAGTAATAAAATTAAGGAAAATGAACAAGTTTAACCTGCTTTTTTAAAGAAATCTTCTATTTTCTTTTGCGTTATCGTGTGACAACGATGTTTTGCAGCTATATATATCTCCATCGTTCATTTGCAGAACGTCGTGAGTTTGCCTCATTCCATCGTTCGACGAAACGTAAAGCAATCTGAAAAGGACAAAACTTTATACAACAACTTTATACAATGACAACAAAAATTAAGAACCATCTTCGTTGTCTAATACGCTCAGGTTGTCTGGACGAAGAACCATATCAATGATGTCCTGGTCGATGAATTCACTTTCTGAGTCATCGGCTGCTAACCACTTACTTATCTCTTCTTGGTTAATTTCGTCACATCCCGGCAAATTTTTTATTAAAGGTTTAATTTCATCTGTTGTTTCTTTGCCATTTTCTTCTTCAGGATCGTCAATCAAAATCCAATCAAAAAGTTAGTTCCAGCATTTTTCCAAAGTTGAAGAGTTGATCTTGGCCCAGAACTCAGCACACCGATAAACAACATGTTTCATTGTTGAATATTTGAGAATTTCGGAAAAATTTTGGATTAATTCATCTCCTGTAATAACAGATGTCTTAAGAATGCTTCTCTATAATGTCTCTTGAATATCTCTGTTACTCCCTGGTCTAACAGCTGAATTAAGCTCGTTATAGTGCGCGCAAGCACTCTTGACCATGGAGCTGCGCGAAGGCGGACTCAAATTCACGTAAAGGCAGAAAGGTTCTATTGTAAATGGAATTATACAGTGCATAGTACAATGCGTTTCACACGGAAGTGGTGACTAAACCAAATTTCATCTACTGCGCCGTGGTCAAGAGTGCTTGCGCACACTCTACGTTTGGTGGCAAAAATCTGACAATTATCACTATTGTGTTGATTCTGAGAGTAAGTTGGCCCATTGTCAACAAGCAACAATGCTTTGATGGAAAGTTTTTTTTTTCATTTTAAACAGGATGTTACACTTGAGATGAATTCATTTTCAAACCATTCTGAAAAAAAGTGGGCGACATCCATGAGGTTTTTTGGCTTCTATAAAAAACTGGAAGTGATTTTTCCTCAAATATCTTTTAGAGCTCTTAGTTTTTTGGTTTTCCCAACACACGTCGGCATCAATCGGTGAGTGAATTTAATGGAATTGTTTATGTTTTGCGATAAAAATTTACTTTTTATTGACGAAATTATTGAAACTGTCAGCCGTTTCGGTTAAACGATGTTTCGGTTAAAAAGGTTTCGGTTAAAGGAGGTTTTACTGTATACTATGCAAGTTTGTATATTAATTAATAAATGTAAGCTTCCTCAAGTACTTACAAATATTGCCTTACCACTGACTGAAGTTGACTATCATACTTGGCAAAAGGGTATTTTTCGCAAGGAAGATTGTGAACTTCTGTTGCACAAAGAAGCATTTGTTCAAATGGTCTGATCTTGAATAACAAGCTGCACAGTAATATGAAGTAAAGTCAACTAGGAAGATTTAAATTTGAACTAAAACTGAAAACTGAATTAATGGAAAAAAACCATTCTGTATTAACATAGATTACTTAATAAAATTTTGTATTAATTCCAATCGCATGAAAAGTAAAAATATTTAATTTCCTGTATTTTGTGTTCAGTAATAATATTGGATTTTACTGTATCAAAGACAAATAAAATGAATATAATATGTATATATAGGGCGTGTTGAAAGAAGTGGGATGGAATATTTTGAATACTCAAAATTATTTGTCAACATCAAATATTCGTCAAAGACTCTATTTTGCGTAGAGTGAAAATTATACGAATGGTTTTGCATGCAGTCAAATTGGAAAATACTTGCCAAGTTGCTGGTATGTCCAAATTTGAATAAAATACATCCAAGAATTTACTTTCTGCAGGTACTGTATTAAATATAATCTTGAAACAAATTGGCACTAAATCACTTCCGAGTTTTCACCAAAACAAAAGGTTTAAACACGTGTAGTCCAGTAATTAATACCAAAGCTATTGAGAGTATGCAGTCCAGTAATTAGAATGAAGGTACTTAATTGTTTAACTAAAACACCACAAAGTCCGAATTGAATTCCCAAAACACTTTTTTGTTACTTCTTTTTAGCAAACGATTTGTCCTATTCACTGTCTGATATTTCACTATCAGA